CAAAGACATAACACCTTTTGTAGACAAAAAAAAAAATATCTACAACACAGTAGTGGCTATATCAATACTGCAGTGAAAAGCAAAGCACAAATCATACGATTTTCAAGCTTTCAAGGAATCAATTAAAGTACCTGAGTTTAAAAAATGTAACTGGTATAGTTACAAGCTAATAATGTTGTATTTTTTGGATACAAACCCAAAACCTAACTAGGCATGAGAGATGTGTGTAGGTCATCCCTCTTCATACCTATCTCAGCCCCACATAGCCAGCATCTGATGTAAGTCAAAACGGACGGTGTATGTCAATATTGTGTTAAACTATATTGACTTAGACTAGTATTAGCAATCTTGTTGATTTAAATACAATAATAATTATCCCGGGAATATGCTTTATATATAAACCATTTAAACATAAAAATATAGCATCCACATTTTACAATAACAATGCTTGGCACTTAGTTTAGGAAGTTCCCTTAATTGTATAGTAAGGCACTTATGAAAGTTAGCTTTTTACAGCTTTATCACATCCTTGTTATAGAAACTAATGTTGTGGCACAGTTAAATGTTATTAGTTGCACTAGTATTTCCCTTATCTAAGTTTGATCCTTTAAGTTACGCATCTATCACAGGTACACGAGACAACGCAAGAAAAAATCGGACCATGTTTGGGAACATCACTTTGTGATATTAAAAGTTAGCCTTCATATGAAAATAGAAAAAGGATATTGGGTTTTCTAATATTTTTGTTATCAAACTGGTGTTTTTTATTACTCCTCCGACTTACTGATTCCCTTCAGCAGTCATGGAAGCAGTTCTAATCTACGAGTCTAAGAAAATTAAACTAAGATTTTTCCCACTGAGCAAGCGCTATTTCATCCTGGCCATCCTAAATGCACTCATTAGGGCCCTAGGGTCACTGCCAGGCATGCAAGGATCAGCCGGGCAACAAATAGGGTGAGCTGAATCAGAGTCACTGTGGCACACACGTTGCATGCAGAATGAAAAAGACTTTCGCGCACTACTACTGTCGCTCGCCTTGGGGCCTAACATTCCAGTTCATCTTCCAGATCAGACACACGGGCTTTGAGTTCGTTGCGTTCGTAGAGAATCTCCTTGAGCTCGGTCATTGTGAATCGAGGCCTGTTTGGATCATCTCGATCAAACACCAACTTGTTTGTAAGGTCCAAGCTATCAGTCTGAAAAGTTATGATAAACACATCATAAGTAAATAAGGTTCATTCATATTCTCAACTATATCAAAATAATCAAGGATTCAGGGAAACTGGTTAGCTGGACTTGAGTCCTGGAGTGGGGAAGTACAATGCCTGCATTTTTAAAGGAGGGGTTTGGGATATTGGGAACCTCTGCAAAGACAGTGATTATGTATGAATGATGGTGAAAGTGTTGAATGATGGTGAGAGTGTTTCATTCTTTTTTGGGCAATCCTGCCTCAGCGGGAGATGCCCAGCATGTTAAAAAACAAACAAAAAAATCCTAGTATTATTTCTTTAGAACTTTTGAACTAAAAAATGCAGTACAGTACAGTATACAGTGGACCCCCGCATAACAATCACCTCCAAATGTGACCAATTATGTAAGTGTATTTATGTAAGTGCATTTGTACGTGTATGTTTGGGGGTCTGAAATGGACTAATCTACTTCACAATATTCCTTATGGGAACAAATTCGGTCAGTACTGGCACCTGAACATACTTCTGGAGTGAAAAAATATCGTTAACCGGGGGTCCACTGTATACTGCATTTTACAGAATCAAAGATGCCGTTTTTTTCCCAAGGTCTCAAATTTACCTAGCGTCATGGAGGCCAAAGTATCTTTTATCTTTTTTTTTTCCAAAACTTAGCCAGTCAGAATTAGGGTAAGAGGAGAGAGTGGCGTCCTCAACACAGGAGCATCTTGTTCACCATAAAATACAGTAATTTAAGTGGTGAATCAACTTACAATTTCCTTGCTTCTACAACACTTCCAGTGAAGCCAGCCCTCAAAAGATTGTATAGTATTACACTTAACAATCTAAAAGCTGAAAATGATTAGTAGTGTTCCCACAGCTTAATACAGAGTAATTAAAAACTGGAATTGCCACTATCATACTAATCAAATAACATTCATCCAACTAGCTGAATGAGAAAATTTGTCCAACTACTATTTGGATGATGTAAAATTCATCCAACTAGTCGAATGAATCTTACTTTGTCAGCATGGCCATCCATTCCTTAAGTTATATAAATCATTTTAATAGTTCAGTATTAGTTTAAGTTTGCCCCAAATGCTGCACATGCTTAGTTGTTTTTTTAATCTGTACACTAATTGGAAATTGACTCATAATATTTATGTACCACAAATTAAAAATTATTGTTTTTGTAGCTTTTATAGTTTCAGTAATACAAGCAGCAGTAGTTGTAGCAGTAGTGGTGGTGGTGGTGGTGGTAGTAGTGGTGGTGGTGGTAGTAATAGTAGTAGTAGTAGTAGTAGTAGTACTAGTACTATTAGTAGTAGTAGTACTACTAGTAGTACTAGTAGTAGTAGTACTAGTAGTAGTACTAGTAGTAGTAATACTAGTAGTAGTAGTACTAGTAGTAGTAGTACTAGTAGTAGTACTAGTAGTAGTAGTAGTACTAGTAGTAGTAGTACTAGTAGTAGCAGTACTAGTAGTAGCAGTAGTAGTAGTAGTAGTACTAGTAGTAGTAGTACTAGTAGTAGTAGTACTAGTAGTCGTACTAGTAGTAGTACTAGTAGTAGTAGTAGTAATATACTGATACTAAAATTACGGTTCCAAGAGTGAATAAGGATCCAAAACAGAGGAAATAGGTAACAATAACAAAGTGGAATGCATTCAAGAAAATTTACAAGAGTATCTTGATCGCTTTAAGGAAGAGGAGTTTTAAAATATCATTAGTGTGTAAATAATTATGTTCAATGATTGATGTTGTTTGATTGTTTGTATCTTTGTGAATGTGACACCAAGTTCAACCTTCCACTATATACAGCTGAAAGCCATAATCTGCAGGGGTTCTACTTCTGAAGGTGACATGCAGCCTGAAATTTCAGATATTAGTAAATTTAGCATTTTAACATTTAAAATTTTTGTAACTGTTGTACATATATCTAAATACAGTGGACCCTCGAATTTCATCATCCCTTTTCTGTATGTAAAACTATAAAATGTAATTTTTTGTTAATATTTTCCCCTAAGAAATAACGTAAATCCAATTAATCCATTCCAGACACCCCAAAAACATTAACAAAAAATACATTTTATAGAGAATAAAATATAGTTTTACAAAACAGAAAAGGGATGATGAAATTCGAGGGTCCACTGTAATGTTCTTATCTGCTAAATACTAACATTCAGAAAGAAAGTACATTTTGAATTAAATCCTATGGTTAGTTTCAATTTAGGGATTGTTAACCCAAAATAATGCAACATTAAAAAATGTGAATAATTGAAGCTAAGCAAGAATGGCCTTTAGCCACATGTTGAGTAATCAGATTGAATCATGTGGATTATATAGGATAAATTTTTGGGTTTAACTGCATATACTGTATTGTTTTTCCCAGAAAATACAGCCCCAGGCCATTGTTTTAGTTGGAATGATAAGAAAATAGCCACAGAAGCAAATACAAGAGAGATAAAAGAGTAGGTGGCATTAAGACTCACACTGGAACTAGCCAGATCTTCATTTTCCTTCTGAGCCAATCCCAATTTTCGCCTGAGGATGGTAACAGCACGAGTCTCCTCCTGCAGTGCAGCCTGCAGCTCAGCCCGCTCATCAATCAAGGATCGCATCTGTGTAGCGTTTGTTCGCTGCCGGCGACGCAGCTCACGATTAACATGGTTCACCTTTTCTAGCTGTGACTTTAACTGAAAATATGAGACAATGTAATGTAAGTGAAAAACAAATTGCAATTATATGTTTCCATACAGTCTTCAAATCCTGCTTGCCCAAAGTGTTTTAACAATACAAAAGAAAAGACATACCTGGAGACCTGGAGAGGGCTTCGGGAGTCAACGCCCCTGTGGCCCGGTCTGAGACCAGGACTCGTAGTGGATCAGGGTCTGATCAACCAAGCTGTTACTGCTGGCTGCACGCAAACTGACGTACAAATCACAGCCCGGTTGGTCAGGTACTGACTTTAGATACCTGTCCAGTGCCTTCTTGAAGAAAGTCAGGGGTCTATTGGTAATCCCCCTTATGTATGCTGGGAGACTGATGAACAGTTTTGGGCCCCTGACACTTACTGTATTGTCTCTCAGTGTACTCGTGGCGCCCCTGCTTTTCATCGGGGGAATGTTGCATCTCCTGTCGAGTCTTTTGCTTTCATAGGGAGTGATTTTCATGTGCTAGTTTGGTACTAATCCCTCTAGGATTTTCCAAGTGTATATTATCATACACAAATAACCCGCACATAGAAAAGAGGAGCTTATGATGATGTTTAGATCCGACTTGGACCATTTACAAAGTCACACTAACCAGAAGTGGAGCAGGACGGGTATATATAGGCAGGAAGAGGCGGCAGCGGCGGCGGCGGCGGCGGCGGCGGCGGCGGCGGCGGCGGCGGCGGCGGCGGCGGCGGCGGCGGCAGCAGCAGCAGCGCAGCAGCAGCACAGCATGGTAGTAGTGGGAATTAAGGAGGAGGAGCCAGTCAAAACAAAGGGAAAAGGGGGGGCACTGCAAGGGAGCTAGGTGCCCACAGAGGGGGACAAGTGCAAGAGGGGGGGAAGGGGAAGTGATGAAATAAATAATGAAGGAACAGAAACAAGAGACAGAAGAAAGAAAGACAACCCAGAGGAGAAAAAGGAAGGAAAGAGGAAAGGGGAAGAGGGAGAAGAAGAAAAAGAAAAAAATGAGGAATCAGGTTAAGCCACGGGTGTTCTGAAGTTGGGAGCATTTTACAATGTAGTGGGAGAGGAAGGCATCTACAGAGACAAAGCCAGAACTCAGATTCATACAGTGGAACCTCAAAAATCGAACTTAATCTGTTCCAGGAGCTAGTTCTAAATTCGAAAAATCTGAAATTCAAAGCAATATTTCCCATAAGAAATAATGGAAATACAATTAATCCGTTCCAGAAACCCAAAAATATTCACAAAAATACATTTTATAGAGATTAATTACAGTTTTACATACAACAAATACTATAGTTTTTAATTATGTATAGTAATACATATAAAATAACATTTTTACTTACCTTTATTGAAGATTGGTGATGGAATCTGGAAGATAGGGAGGAGGAGAGGGAAGTTGGGGTTAGTGTTTGGAAGGAGAATCCCCCTCCATGAGGACTTTCAGGAAAAAGCCCTCTCTGAGGTTACTTCCCTTCTCTGTCTTTTAATCCCACTAGGACCAGCTTGAGAATCACTGGACCCCTGTCTCACAAAATAATGTCCACAGTCCTCTGTTTCTGGTGCCTCTTTAACATTTCCTTAAAAGGGGACATGGTTCTGCCCACTGAACTTGTTGCAAAGATGCTTGTTTCAGCTTGCTCAGGGTGGTATTTTCTGCACAAACTTGGACATCATTCCACTTGGCACAAATCCCCTTTAAATCTTTGAAGGCGGCACCTCATCCACTCCCTATATTAACACCTTTCGCAACATCAGCTTCCTTGATTTCTTTCTTTGACAGATAGAACCGATGGTCAACTTGTTTTCCCCATACACCCTGGCAAGCTCAACAAGTCTCGCACCACTCTCATACTTCGTATTATTTCCTTCTTCACATCTATGGTTTTTTCTCACTTTCTTTAACCACAGGGTACCACTAGCAAGTTTTTTTGGGGCCCATGGCAGCTTATTTCACAGTCCACAAGCACTAAACACAACGAAATAATCGTAAAATGCGTGAATGAGAGTGCAGGTTAGTGTTCACTCAAGCATAAACAAAGCTAGACTGCTCACGGCGCCTGCGCGGGGACGCGGACAGAGCGGGCCAGCAGACAGGTCCCGTACCCGGCGGTCCGAAAATAGGGGCGAGTTCAATAATAGGGACACAGTTTGTCCGAAAAAATGGTCCTATTTTCGAAACGTTCGATATGTGATACGTTCGATTTTTGAGGTTCCACTGTACAAGGAAAGTTGTGTAGAGAGAAGGCCCATGAAGGGTTTCTACATCTCCCTATACCTATTGATGTCTTTCTTGATCTTATCCGCCTCTTGTGTGGACTCTAACTCCTTTTCCTTCCAAGGGAAATATCCTCAAACCTTCGGTGTCACTATGGGCTCTCCTCTCTCTCCTGTCCTTGCTTATCTTTATATGGAATACTTCAAGACTGTTCTTCTTCCTACCAGCGATGTGCAACCTTCACTCTGGCTGTGCTATGTGGATGACATCTTTGCTCTGTGACCTCATGACTCGTCTCTTCCAACCTTTTCTTGAAACTCTTAATAATCTTGCCCCTTCCATTAAGTTTAAAGCTAAATGGGAATCTAATTCCTTGCTTCCTTTCCTTGATGTTTATGTCCACCGCTCAGATACAGGTTTTTCCTTTTCCGTTTACTGAAAACCTATGCACAGTGGCATGTACATTCACTACTTTTCCTATCATGCTTCCCCTGTCAAGAAAAGTGTTCTTATCTCCCTCTTTCTCCATGCCCTCTGCATCTGTGATCCTCAGTTCCTTCCAGCAGAAATTTCCACTCTTCATAATTCGTTTCCCCGTCTTGGCTACCCTTCCCATTTCATAGACTCTGCCCTCTCACGTGCTAAACGTAATTTCTTCTCTCCCAAACTCTCCACTCCTGGGAACACTTCTGTCCTCTGCCTTCCCTACATTTCTGGTCTTTCTAATCTCAACAATTCTTTCCATCCCTTAGACATCAAGCTTACTTACCGCCAGACTAACACTCTTCGCACTAATCTCGTTCATACCTCTCCTCCCTCTACAGATGTTCCTGGTGTCTACTCTATTTCTTGCTCCTCCTGTCCTCTTCAATACAGTGGACCCTCACCTAATGATATTAATTGGTATCTGAGAACGAATATCGTTAGGCGAGTTTTTTAGCGTTAGCCGAGGCAAAAGTTAGCGTTAAAATGTAACGTTTGGCGAATTTAACATTATGCGATGCGTTTGTTAGGCGAGGGTCCACTGTACTTTGGAGAAACTGGTCGATCTCTTTCTGACAGACTTAGGGAGCACAAAAATAGTGTTAGGCTTGCCGACACTAACAATGCTCTGTTCTGTCATGTCAGAGATCACAGCCATCCTATTGACTGGTCTTCCGCTAAAACTGTCTTCCCTACTTCCAACTCTAACAGTCGCAGTCTAGTTGAATCCTCTCTAATACACAACTTTCCTTGTATGAATCTTAGTCCTGGCTTCGTCTCTGTAGATGCCTTCTTCTCCCACTACATTGCAAAATGCTCCCAACTTCAGAACACCCGTGACTTAACCTGATTCCTCATTTTTTCTTTTTCTTCTTCTCCCTCTTCCCCTTTCCTCTTTCCTTCTTTTTTCTCCTCTGGGTTGTCTTTCTTTCTTCTGTCTCGTGTTTCTGTTCATTCTGTTCATTCTGTTCATATTCCCAAGCTCCATTATTTGATCATCACTTTATTTGTACTAGTCCCTTTTATATTGTCTCCTTTATTTTAGCAAAAAAAAAAAAAAAAAAAAAAAATACCTTAGCTCATTTTTACATTTGTTAAATAATTCGGGTGCTATTTTTTAGCTTAAGACTATTTACTTTGTTTTATACTTAATTCTAACTATAGATCACTACAAATCTTATGATTACAAGCATTGATCCAGATACCAACCTCTTATTTAATGACTTAAATGAATCAAACAGTTACTGTAATTACTACACTGCAGAACAATCAAAGGCACTTCTCAGTGCCAACAACAACAAACTATCTTTAACTACAATATCAGATCTTTTAAAGCAAGCTTTAAACGATACCTCATAGCAATTACTAAATTCCTACATGCCAATATGTCCATCATTAAAACTAACTGAAACCTGGTTTAAAGCCTGATACTACAGATGTCTATACCATTCCTGGTTACACAGCCATACACAACTGTAGGCCAGACCAACAAGGGGGTGGCACAGCCATATACTACTCAGACCAACTAGAATGTATCACTAATACTTGCACAAGAGATAACATGGGGAATATATAATAGCCAAATTCAAATCCAAATACCTACAAAAACCTCTCACATTGAAAACATCTACAGAGTTCCACAGTCAAACATTAGCCAATTTAGTCAAAACCTAGGAAGTATGATTAACTGATGCACGCATGAACAAAGATCACTTACTACTCTCAGGTGCTTCAATATAAATCTCCTGCAAGACCAGGACCCACACGTTACTGAATTCACAAACACAATGAAAACTGTATGTTGCTACCAACAGTAAAAAAACCCTACAAGAGTTACAGAGACTAGTGTTTCCCTACTTGACCACATCTGGACCAACACCATATCCCCTTTAAAATCAGGCATAATTACAGATAATACCACAGACCACTACCCTACTTTCCTCATAAAACTCTTGGTAAATTACCCCAAGACCTACTAAAGTCCCCTTTCAGACTTCACAATGGGGCAGCCATTAATAACTTCACACAGCATTAGCAAACATGATTGGCACACTGAGCTAGAAATCAATACAGATATTGACGAATGTATTAATAATTTTCTAAAAAAGACTCAATACCTCTATAACAAGCACTGCCCTAAAAAAACTAAGCAGATGACAGCTAAGAGACTGAACAGCCCCTGGCTAACACCCAGCATTCCCCAAATCCATAAATACAAACACCAATATGAAAAACAGTACAGAAGGGGTCACATAACCAGAGACCAAACAAAACGTTACTCGTCAATCCTAACCACCCTGATAAGAAGGGCAAAAAA